GGAGGGAGGGAGGGAGGGAGGAGAGGGAAGGAGGGATGGAGGGAGGGAGGAAGGAAGAAAGGAGAGGGAGGGAGGTAGAGAGGGAGGGAAGGGAGGGAAGGAGGGAAGAAGGGGAGGGAAGAAGGGGAGGGAAGAGAGGAGGGAGGGAGGGAGGAAGGGGAGGGAAGAGAGGAAGGAGGGAGGGAGGGAGGGAGGAAGGAGAGGGAGGGAAGGAGCGAGGGAGGGAGGGAGGGGAGAGAAGAGAGGGAGAGAGGGAGGACTTTAAACCCAGAGGGAGCCAGCTGACTGCAGTGCAGCAAAAGCACAAGCGCTATTCCAGACCATGGGCATGCGGTCACCCAAACCCTCTTATCAGGAGGGGGGTGGGAGAAGGGAGAGGGGACACACAGGGTGGAAAAAGAACAAGGCACAAGACACTTACAAAGAAGCACCCACATTTGAGCAAACAAACAAAAACCACCACGCACGCCCGCACATCAATAACCATTGTTAACACCATCCGTGCTGGAAGTCATTCATGCATTTCCGCCATCAGTGTCAGACCTGTGGCCCCAGGATTTGACAGTGTTTTTTGCATCGCTCAACATGCATACATGACACAGGATTCTTCCTGTCCGGGTCTTTAGGATGAGCTCCAAAAACACAAATGCTCAAGATCCTTAGTCAGAGAAGATCCCTTCGGTCACCCTAGTCTCAACACCCCATCCTTCCGCTAACATTTGGCTTTACTATCAATTAGATCCTTAAAAACACACTGTGGCTGATGGTTGTTTGGTTTCTTTTTGGAGAAAATCCATTTGATTCTGAATCATGCCCATGCACGTCTAACCTTCCAATCAATACATGCTTATCCCAACCAAATATTGTTAAGAACAAATGGCCAACATACATAAACAGCTGGAATACTTCATACATACTCTAGCAACACAAGCTTGAATAAAATATTTTAATGAGTCTTCAAAGGGAAAGCTTTCTGTAAAGTTACTTTTTTTTTCCTTTTTATAAAAGAAAAGAGAAATAGGGAAGGAAATCCAGTTGAAACTTTTAAGACCAGTGATCTCAATTGGCTGACCTAGTTTGTCTTGTCATTTAAGTTGTCAAGTTATCAAATCACTTAGCATTCCTCCAGGCCCCGTGCCTATAGTGAATGTCTAAGATCATTCTCAAATGAACAGAAGTTGGACAGTTGCTGCATGGAAGCAGCTGGGGTTGAACCATAATTCACTTGAGTAAAATCAACTCTACCTTCATAGCTTTGAAAATGTGATCCCCTGCCTTTTAATTTCTACCATATTCTATTACCTTTTTTTATCCTCACAACTGACCTGGAAGATGTTTTCCCTCTGTTGAGTAAGTTCTAGTTATTACTGTGGCTTGCTTTCTTGTGGGTTGTTGAGTCTGCTCCTGGAAATAGTGGTAGAACGCTCTAAGGCTTGCAGACAAGTTGGAAAATGTATTTATAAATGTATCATAGTGGAATTAAACTGGGCTATCATTTCTTTCATTCTGCTATTAAGAATCATAGATAGAGCTATTCTCACTTCCCTTTTTGTCCTCCTCAAATTTCTTGGTTCTAGACCATGCTCATGCACTGCCAGTTGGTAACTACCACACTGTTCCTGAACCAAGGTAGGGGTGGCCCCGCCCAGTTTTCTACCTCAGGTGCTCTGAAGTCATGTATTCCAAGTGTCTCTCATACTACAAAAAGAGGTCACCTTCACTTTCTCTCCAGAGACAAAGAAATAATCAAAAATAGTATCCTGATATCAGCATCAACTCGTAAGTCAAGTAACTCCTCAATTTCCAGCGCAGAGGACTCCAAGACCTTTTTCCAGTAGAATCACATAAGTACATGGATTCTACTGAAGGGACTCTAGGAAATAGAACTCTGGAGTCTTAGGGGATCCATGATCAGTATTTCTCCAAAGATCTCACAGAATTCAGAAATCTTATGGTTACATTTGACCTTGGAGTTAATTACCGGAAGCTCAGAACTTATAGCACCTTAAGAAGAATAGGACAAAATCTGTTGAACTACATTAGAATAGCTTTAAAGCTCAGAGAATAATCAATAAAAGTCAGGAAGTGCTCAATTAATGATGAAACCTACAAATAACTAAGCTTAATGGAGTGCAATGCCTGAGGTGTAGCAAGCACGTGGGGCATTGCCTCAGGAAACCTAAGTTTTATGCCTGATTGATTTCTCATGATTGTCATGGATGTGGCCCTTGACCTTATTTTGCAGACTTTCCCCTTTGTGCCAATGACAAGGAGAGGCAGCTGTCACGGTAAGTGGGGAGATAGGTAACTGCTCCATATCTAAGATTGCCTCCCGGGAAAGCAGACCTGCCTGCTATGCACCCAACCCCCCCACCCCACCCCATAGTCCCTTCAGGGACAGGTTCTGCTTAATCATTTCCAACTGGTACATCCTCCAGAGTAGGAATCTTTCAGGAAGCCAGTTGGGCTAGGAGCACAGGTTTCCCTAAAAGGTAAATGAACACTACAGGGTTGGCTGATCACCTCTTGTCATTTAAACGATCAATTTCAACCCTGTACCACATGCAAAGAGATTTAAGGAGGCCCTTTGCCCACTAATTCCCATGGATTCAGTTATTAAAATTCAGCCCATTTTTTAAGCTAACATATCTTTCTCTAAGTATAATCGTGCCAGGATTAGATTGAAGTAATAAAATCATATACGGATGAAACAGGATTCTAATTTTCTGATTGGAGGGCCAAGAAATCATCAATAGACTTCTTCCAACCTAAAAGTCAGTGGCAAAATTGGGAACAGGAACCAAGATACCCCACGCCCCCTTCTGAAGCTTTCCTCACTTGTTTTTTGTGACCTTTGGCTAAAATCTTAACCAGCTATTTAGTATTCTGCCTTAAAGCTACCAGTGCATGAATGATGTTTAAATGCCCCAGTTAATGTTAAAATCTACGTAGGGTGTGGAGACGTTTCCTGCCAAATGTTAGTGTAAATATTTATGCTCATGTAGGAGACTGAGAGTGAAAAGGCAAGGGGTTGTACAGGTCAGTGTGGTTAGGAACACACTTAAAAGAAAGAGCAGTGATCTTCCTTGTCACCATCTATAAGTTTCAACAGGAACCTCCTCCCTGACCAGGCCTCCAGTCTCAAGGATGAAGTGAGCATACAACTCAAGTGTTCCCAAGACTCCAGCCGATCAACCAAGAAAGCAACCGAGCTGTTAATTCAGAGGCTACCAATTGAATGCAAATATTAGTTTTTTGGAAGCTCTGTGCATTTCCACAATTGGTGGAGTTACAGAAACAAGGACTGTGCACAACGGAAAACTGTCCTCTCAGCCAGCCGGCAAGAAGGTGGCCTCGGCCGGCTGAGACGGCAGCCATTGGCTGTTGAACTCACAACAGAAATGACAAGACTTGACATCCTTTCAAGCCCTAAAAATTACAGTGTATTTATGAGATCAGTCTACTTGAAACGCGGTTTCCCTTGAAGACTACATTTCTCTTTTTCCCAGGCTTGCCTTGCCTCTCAGCAGTGCTGAGAAAGTAGATAAACAGGAATGTGATACCAACCGTGAACTGCTGGTTCTGTCGTCGCCGTTGTGTCTACAGACGGGAACAGAGGATTGGAGGAAGGGAAGAAACAGGAGGAACGGCATGCAAAAAAAGGGAAAATGGAAAAAAATGGAACAGATAATATATGAGCAAGCTTTCAAAGAACATCGCGTGACAAGCAATAATAAATGAAAAGCAAAAAGCATTTGAAGTGAGTTGCACTGTTTTAAGACATGCCTTCAGCTCAAAGCTGCGAGCCAGTGAGGAAAACGGTAAATTCTTTGGTTCTGGGGGTCTTGCCAGGAGACAACTACTCGCTAGTCAATTGTCAGGGAAACATGCAAAGTGATGAGAAACACCAGTGCAAACTCAAGTGACTCTGGGAGAGGGCTCTTCAGGCATGGAGACTCAGTGCTGTGACAGAAAAGCTCAGTTGGAAGGCTGCTTAAACAATGGCTTCACACATTCAAACATTGTCTTTGTTTGAACCCAACCCACCCTGGAACTCCAGCTTCCTGACTGCCAATTAGGTGTCACTGAGTCAAGAAAACCGCACTGTTAGGATCCTTTATGGTAGATGCCTGTGGGTGCGTACATGAATCCGGGTTTTCCATCCGGTGTTTTATCTCAGCAGATTTCAGCCGGAACGTTCAATTAAGTGGGAGGCATCGCGAATTGTCTTCAGATCAGTTTTGGTCTACACACATGCTCGCACGCACGCACGCACACCCACCACTAATCCATGGTAGAAAAAAGTCTGTCATGGAAACACTCAAGTGCGTACACTTTGCCAAATGCCATTTCTAATCATGTGACATTCCAAAAAGGAAAGCATTTGGCCGTTGCTCGGGCTCACAAGTCAGAACCACGTTCACCGGGCGCTGCTAGGCGCCTGCCTTCATGGCTGCAGGAGATCGCGCGATCTGTTTTTCCTTGCCAGGCACACACACCGCAGATGAACGCGCACTCTCTTTCTTCTTCCATTTCTGACGCCGTTCAGGTTTTCTGCTCCTTCTACCAGGCTGCAAACCAGGCTTGCCGCCCTGGCTCCTCTTCACAGGAAATTCCTCAAGGGGTTCAAAAAATTGTCTCTTTATTTTTGGCAAGAGGGAGAGTGGGATAAATATCTGACAAAATGCAGGATGACATTCTTTTTCCAGAGTCGTTTTAACACCACACTTCTAGCCAACTTCACTCCAAAGTCGCCCATCTGGCCACGCTTTAATTTTCAGTTCTGTGCCTCTCAAGTATGTTTCCTTCCTCCAGTCCCTGCTGGCCAGAAAGGCACGGATGCCTGAACCACGGAAGCCTTCGCTTGTGGAGGTGGGGGTTCTGGAATAAGTCTGCCAGGGGCTACCTGTCCCTTTTTAGAATGCACGCTTTGAGCCGGTAATTACTTTCCCGAGCACTGGAGACTCCAGAAGACTCCTTCAGGTCCGACACAGGCAATGTTTAAATGTACGGGAACGCCCAACATAAAGTTTGGGGGCCGAATGAGCCTGGTGCTTCTCATTTACAAATGTGTCACGTGAATTCGCACCGGTGTTCCCCTTCAGTTGGCATGCTTTTCTCAGGACCCTAAACCTTCAAACAATAGGAGCCCTGAGAAGGGCTTCTTAGAGGGAGCCAGAATTAACCAGAAGTCTGACAGTTCACTGCAGTTTAAATATAACTACGGCTGAGTTTCTGAAGAATTGATGAAAGAAAAAACATAAAATACACCGTATAAGAACACAATACTTACTTACAAGTCAAGTCTGTATGCATAAAATAACAGTAAAAAAAATACCAAAAATTGTACAGTTGAAACATCTCCTTACTTGAAACAACCAAGTCAGAGTTAGTTTGAGGTGCTTTCAATTTGAGGGGCAAAATCAAATGCACATTTGTACAGACACACTTAATTATGCACGTTCATACACTTTATGGTTAGGCATTGGCTCATTTTCAAAATTAAAAAAAATGCAATAAACACTTTGGCTCGTTATTTTTGTAGCAGCACTTCTTATATGCTTAATTTCACCAGGTAAGTAATTAGGATACAATGAAAAGAGAGGAGGGAGAATAAACTCAAGGGTTAGAATCTCAAAAATATCATCTTTGCATTAACCAAGTGGCTCCAATTTATTGTCTTCCGACATAACACCATCACGTCAAGTTTATGAAGAAAAGAAACCATGTGGGGCTGACCGTCAGCTCCCACGGGGGTAACCAGAACATCAAGGAACGGCAGGTTACAGTGCAGCTTGCTCCCCCATTCTGGGGGTGGGAAATCCATCAATTGCACCCACAATGGGAGGAAAAAAGGAGTGTTTAGAAAGGGGGAAAAACATGTTCTAAAACAGTTAAAAGCAAACACACATTCAAGTCAAACAACAGTTATTGCAGCTGGACACGGCAGAGCCACTCAACTGGGGGTTCTGCTCAGCCACGGCGGAGGAGACAGGGACACAGAGAAACACGGGGTGGCCACACGGTCCAGAACAGGACTGAGGGTGTATCTGGGGAGCGGCCGATTCCACTTCTCTAAGAGCATCTGGTGTGCTATCGGAACAGAGGCTATTTCAAGTCAAGAACTAAAAAAAAAAAAAAAACTCTTTAGAAGTGACTTTGTGCTCCCTGCAGGAGAGCGCTGTGACAGGATCTAATTCTCCTTCATAATTGCATTATGACTTCATGCAGAAACCACAGACACCCTGGCTCTGAAGTGAGGGTTGCTGTGTGAAGTAGGATTTATTAGGGTGTCTTAATCAGAGGATTGGCAAGATGTGCAAGCCCACCCCCGTGAATCAACTTGTGGGGTCACTCTATTGTTTGATAGCATTCTATGAGTACAGGTCAAATGCAAATACTTAATTTCCAAGTAAGTTATAAATGTTGGAATTAGCTTCAAAAATGAGAATGTCTAATTGCCCTCACCAAGGGCTTTCCAAGCCTCCTTTTGGCGCAGCCTTCGAATGTAATCTTTGAGCTAGGTCCAATGAAAAATAGGTCACAAAAAATTAAGACTTAACAGTGGTGTCGGGTTATGAAATTAAGAAGAGCTCACTGAGCTTTACCATCTCTATTTTAATTTTAATTACAATGAGGGGAAATTTTTCATACATCTATTTTATATGGTCAACAGAAAACAATTACATGTTCTTGCAAACCCAGTAAGTGTGCACGGACTTAACAGTCATTCTCTTGCTGTTTTATGAGTATAATTAAACCAGGCATCAAGGGCAAGCCCCCACACTGCCATCTGAAAAATGCACATCTCACTAAATATTGACTTCTCTTCTTAGTCTCCTGGCCGTACAGTTTATGGGACCCTCTGATGAATAAATTAAACATTACCTGTATTTCATGATGCAGAATGAAATGTACATAAGGAAAGGCTCCAAAGACATGTGAGATTAGAGACACTAGCTGTTTAACCAAATAGCCAAAAAAAAAAAAAAAAAAAAGAGCTGACTGCATGAGAAGCAGCTGGGCAATATTTAGTTGAAACAGTCATGTGTACGCTCCACTGTGGCACATTCTAATCCCTTCATATGGATTCTCTCCAACTTAGAATTGTTCACTGAGTGTGACAGACTGGGGGTTTAAAACTAATCCATAAATTAGTCCGTGGTCTCAAACACAATGGGCACCATAAATGAAAATGAAAATCCTAGAACAAAATTAAATTCACAACCTTAAATACTTTTTCTTCTCCAATTACTCTGTGGTGCTCCTGCTTTACAATGCACGTTCCCTGCAACACTGCATGGGGTTGTGGGGGGATGGTCGGGGAATGGGGTGTGCATTAAAAAATGCACAGTGTAATATTCCAGAGAACCAATCTGCTCGGAAGCAGAGCTTAATTGTAAAGAATTTAAATTCTCCCATTTTGATTGTCATAAGCTTAAATGAAAGCATACTAAGCAGTCCAGACATATTTTAATACACTTTCCCCCAGTTTATTTTCTTAACTAAAGTCAATAAGGAGCCAATGGGTTTTCTTAATTGAATTCCCCTTCAGTTTGTGTTATGGAGCGGCTTTAAATCTAGACACTAGGGCAGGGAAGAAATTCCCCTGGCAATTGTATTTTCATAGTTGTGCTGTGCTGGCCAATATATATTACATATCGTGTTCCCCCCACTCCCCCATTATTTATTTTTGACTTATCTGAAAACTGTTGAAAGCAAAAATGCATGCTAGAAAATTAAACTTCGAAATTTATTTTCCACTGGTTTCTGTTCACTTTCCTTCCATCGACATTATGCTTTAATTAAACTCCCATTTCTCAGGGATGGGAGAAGGGATGGAAACAGACCTAAGCTAAAAGGTCCAAACAGAGTCCTGGCACTTCTTAATGTCACCTCTCCTCTGAGTGAAGAGACTGCTCGCCACAGAACAGCAGGAAGGGGAGTGGATTTTTTTCTGTTAAGCAATTTCAAGTTTTGTTAAAAGCTTCTTCAGAATTGTTCACTAGTACTGCTGTGCCCCAGAGATCTTTTCATTTGCAAACCAGATGTTCTGAAAATAATAGGAATCTGTACAGTGGTTTCATTTAACAAGGAAAACAATTCCTATAGCATGTGGGGTGTGCCTGCGGGGGAGGGGGAGGGACAGATGAGGGATGCGAGGAGCAAGTGGAAGTGAGCTCTACAGTAGCAGCTGGGATTCACCCTGTACTGGGTACCAGAGGGCTGGGTCCTTTCTGCCATGTCTTTACCCTCTCTCCCCCCAAGAGAGTGCCAACAGCCACTTGGAAATCTTGAGTGTTTACATTTTTTTTGTGCTGTTGATAAACCTTTTGTGTGTAAAACATGTGAAGTCTTTCTCGACACTTCATTATTTTTAAACAGACAGTACATGATAGAAGCATTAGAAAAAAAATTCTCACTTCCCATCTTCTCACTGCTTTCTAAAAAATGTAGAAGCAGGTAACCTTCATCCCTTTGGGTTCTAATCTTGCTTATTCCCTCATAAATCCACATAGGTCAAAAACTGGTGAACTATGATGGTATTATAATAGGCTCACAAATGCCAGTAAAATAACAATGCAGACTTAAGATGCATA